GGGTCAGTTAGCCTTTGCTAGAGGGGCTATTTTATCATATGTTTAAGACTAGTTTTTTCATCTTTCGCTCAATTTTTTGGAGAGAAAAAAAATCTATTCAGAAGCACCAAGAGAGTGCAAGTCATATACAAAAATTTACATTTTAAGCAAAATATATATAAGGTCTCCAAGATCCTCACTAGAATATAGAGTTTAGTAAATATATCTATTCATCTTACACTCAACGGGGAGCTCAATAAATAGAGCTCTAATTTTCATTAGAGAGGACTGATTTTCAGGCATCCTAAATTCTGTTATTTTGTTTGCTACTAGTCTAATTATAGTTATTGTCTACTAAGACTACAAAATTAAATCAAACTCCTTTGCATTCCTCAAGTCTTCTGTAGCAATGCTTAAGAAGATCAAGAGACCCGAAAGTAAACTACTTTTTAAGCTACTTTTCTTATTTTATGTAATTTATTCACTGTCCTGGTCCAGTCCTACACCTCTTTTCCACGTTTGTACATTTGGACCTCAGAGCATGTTCCTTGTCTCATGTTTAGCATTCTCCCTTTACTGTTAGAAAAGAATCCCCCTTCCCTTTACGTTTACTTCTATCTCTATGCAATTTTGGGGAATGTAGAATCTCAAATTAAGTTGTCTGCACCCTTTTGTGTGTGATGGAGACACTTTTGTGCAGGAATGGTCCTTCCATTGCTATTTTCCTCTATCTGGTGCCAATCCCATCCAATATACCCATTAGTTATACTGCTAATTTTTTACTTTTTATTTTTCATTTCTTTAACATGTATGTATTTGAGAATGGATAAATTGCAATAGTGTCTTTTTCCTTAATTATCTTGTTATACAAATGATGGATGAAATCTTATATATAATTGCCATAAAATGCAAAACTTGAAGCAGATCATTTAGAAAGAAGAAACTTTATTTAAAGAATAGGAGGAGAGAAAATATTATAAAGGTGGAGAATAAGTCCTCCTCAGTAAGTAAAAAATAAATAAAAAATAAAGGATAAAAAATAAAGGATAAAAAATTGAAAACAGTCTGTACTAATCTCCTTTATTCTCTGTGAATGATAGCATCGCAGTCACGATATAGCTTTAAGATGCTTACACTCGGGAAGTGGCCATGTGCTTTTGCCCGAAGGGAGGACATAAAACGACCCTCTTGTTGAGCTGATGGAATGTTGTCTCTCAATCAAGAAAAATCTGTCAGTTCCACATTAGCCATATACCACAAAGACCTGCAAAAATAGCGCCTTGTCATAGTACCTTAGCCTCTTTTCTTACATCGTCCCCTGTCAACTGTAGGAGGCACCACCCAGCTGAGGCCAAACTTATGTATCAGTTCAGCCCACAATTTCTGTGCCACGATACAATGTAAAAACAAGTGGGAGTGAGTCTCAATATTTCTAAAACACAAAACGCATACATCAAGAGACAAGATATGATGAGTTTGTTGGATTTGAAGCAAATTATTAGTGTTTAGCCCTTGGTTAATAGCGGTCCATGAAAATACTTTACCGTCAAAGGGACTGTATGTTTCCAAGATATGTTGGCAATATGAAATTGTTTTTCACTGGGTTTAGAGATAAGGTGCATGAGAAAGATTTACATGACAACCACCCAGAAGAATCAAGAATCGAAGACTATCAATCTGGTTTCGGTGGCAATTTGATTGGAGTCTAGCATGTGCAGTAAGATCATGACATCAGGAGTAAAACATGCTCAATGTTTGTTCCAATTCCAGTCAAACTAAGCTCAAACCAAGCTCCAGCCAATGTTTGTTTCGAAGATTACACCTATACCAGCCATAGTAGCCCCTGCACCCACGAAATTCTTGAAGCATTTTGTATTTTTGGCACCTTCCAATGTTGTTGCTAGAAACTCAAATGAACCCGACACCAGGTTGGAAGAAGAAGGGGTCATTGAATTTGTCTTTTTGAACAAATCAACCTCCATCCTAACTGTATTAGACAAATCTAACTGAGCTCGCTTTCCTGTTGGACAAATTGGTTTGTCAGCAGTTCCAGTTGCTGGTCCACTTAAGGAACCATCAGTTGAAGTGGGGAAGCAGGGAGCCAGTTCATGGGAAAATTCTTGCATTGTTTTTCATAAGGTCCTGTCAGATTTCCGTGATAACATCTGAATCATGCTGGATGTTTCATTTCTGTTCTGATTTTCTCCTTATGTCTTATTGCTTCACTTATGACTAGGACAAGACTCTTGGGATCATTTTAACTAGTTGATTTAAAGCAAAGGTGGAGTTTTTGGATGGTTTCTATTGTCATTTTTTTTCCTTTCTGAGTGTCAGTGGGCTTGAACTGTTAAGATTAATTTGGAGCATCTAGAGGACATTTGCTTAGTTTAAAAAACGAGGAGTTTATAAGCTGGAAGCCTATAAGTAAGTGCTTCTGTAGGGTCCCTTTACTGGTATTAGTTGTGGATATACCTTTTTAGAAAATCCAGCAGGTTATCAGAGTTACTTCTTTCCTTTTGGATTAAAAAAACTTGTTAGAGATAGAAGAAAAAGGTAGAAGCAGAGTGTAAGAAATCCTCCTAGTTCAGAATAATAGGCAAAAAGAAGAGGAAAAAACCACATAAAAGTAAACATGGAGCCAGAAGCCAGTTCCTTTGTGACATGTAGTTAAAGAGACATCCCTAAAGAACCCATGAGCCTTGGCTCACAAAGATGCGAAGCAAATCATTCTTTCTCAGAGGAAAAAATCAAGGGATCTTGGAAGGTTCTAGCATTTTCTCTGCCCGTAATACCCATAAAACTACAGAAGGAGCTCCTCTCGAAAGCCCCTTGGATCAATTAGAGTCTTTACTTGAATTTTTACCTGTGACACTTACATTGCATTTGGTTAAAATACGTATTCTATTCTTTTCTCAATTCCTAGATCTTCATTATTTTTTATGTAAAGCTGTATGAGAGTGTATCCTTCCGTTGGATAAGTTGATTTGAAGGGAAAAAATCCTAGTGAATGACTGCTATTTGTGCAAAAGTGGGGCATGGATGTACAATCATATCCTTTTTTTTGGTGTCTGTTTGCACATTGTATTTGGTATTTGGCTTACAGTCTTCTGGGTTGAGTTGGGTCCCTGCTGGCAATATGAGGGAGGAGCTTCGGGTGTGAAAGGGCATTGGAAGTGATAAACAACCATTAAAGCTTATCCTAGCTACCTTTTGGGTAATTAGGGTGGAAAGGAATAGGAGGGATTTTAAGGGGGATAGAATCTTCTTGACAGATTTTAGGATTCATGGTTTCAGGCTCTAAGCTTTTCACCAAGTGGTCTATTCTAGAGAGGACGTTGTGGACCTAATAGATATTTTATTAGAGATGTAAATAGCTTTGTACATGGGTTGCAACTAGTTGGTGCTTCTCTATATGTACACTTTTTCTTCAAAAAATTATTTGATATGTAGAAGTTAATTGTAGTTTATAAATACAATGCATAATTAAATCAATTTCACTCCGATTTTCAAATTTACAACTATAGAGCATGAAACCATGAACAACGAAAACTCTTAAGTTGATTGGAATATAAAATTGACTAGGGATCATGTTGCAAATTTGTATTAAAATTTTTATCATGTTTGTATTATATGCTTGTTCCTTTTCCATTATATTAGAATTTGAACCGAAATCGACATAATTGCAAATCGGAGCAAGGGGCTTGTTAAGATAGAATCCTTTGATCTATGGGATTTGGTGACACAAAGTTTGGATACAATTCCATTGCCAGAATTGCTTCTCTGTGCACAACTTCTTGTGATAAGATCAGATTACAAAACTATCCGCCTCAGGAATAGTTAACTTCGAATAATCAAAGAAGAATATCCATATCCAAGGAAAGGACCTGCCATAGAAAAGGACACAGACTAATATGACCGTCTACATGTGCAGGAGATTAGTTTATCTTTTTTCTCCTCTTCCATTTGTAGCTTTCTATAAGAGGACCCAGTAAAGGGAGATAACTCAGCTGCTCGGTAACTTCACTAGTTTGACATGGTGGTAGATAGCATCTTCATTTGCTTAAAAACGTGTTACCTCTGAAAGTTGTTAAACTATTTGGGTAAAATACACATGTTATTATTTAATCAAATAAACATAGAAAATGCAACAAATATTTGGGACTTGGAATATGCAAGCGTGAAAGTAAAAGTCTTTTAATTGGTCACTGTGTTTATATTTTGAGAGCTTATAAGCTTATTAAGTTCATGTCACTCATTTTCTAAATAATCTATTACAAGCTACCCAGCATATAAGCCATACCAGCCAGTATCAAATATATCATCATAGAGAGCTTATAAGCTATCTTTTGACTACAAAATAAGTTAAGCCATACACCCTTGTAATTTTGTGCGGATAGCCTTTGTTTGAGATGCTTTGCTTATGTCAGTTGTGTTAATATGCAGGTCTTCGGATACCTGCAGACCAGAGGCAGAATACTTCTGCACTTCCAATGCATCTTGCAGACGTGTTATCTGGACCTGATGGAGGGCATACTTTCACTGATGCATCCAGTAACAGTCAATCTCTTGTTTTACCAGCATAAGCAGTTATTCCTATTCTATACTAGATTATTTCGTGAGGCTATTGAGGAGGCATTCTAAACATTCTGATACAGGCATGTATACGAAGAATACTCCACCCATGTCTTCAAATAGCATTAACAATCAGGGGATGTTGTTGCAGGTAAAATTATTGGATAATTTTATTTTATTTGTTAAGTAGGATTTTTCCAAAACTCTCTAAATGGTGCATTTGCTTTACAAATCTCATTGTCTTGATGGTTCTTTTTAATTTTCTTGCTGGCTCATTTGAGGTCCATTTGGATTGTGATACCCGATGGGAGGTACTTCTCCCTGGCCTTGTTTTTCTTTTTTTTAATTTACCTTGTCAAAGATAGATGCTTCTTTTTGAATATGCTGACTGCATATTTAGTCCTGCATTTTTCTAGTGTCATTTCTAATTTGAAAGTTTGGCTTGAGCAGTCTAGAATTCTTCTAGGATGAACATAGGGTTGTTTATGACTGATATTTGCCATTTGGATTGGTAGCTTTGAGTGAAAGGGAAGACTTCTGACCAAATTCATCAATGTTTTGGTTAAGTATGATAATATGTTTCATGGGTCTCGTCTATAAGTTATATATGCTATAGCATGCAACTTAGGGGCAAACGCAATCTAACTGTGTTAAACATGAGAGAGGATTTGGAGAAATTGAGAGATGGTTTGGAGATAATTTATGGTATTGACATAACGATGCTGTCCATAAAGATATGCCACCATTTGGTGGGAGTTGCATCTCTGTCACCCATAGAAATTATGAAATTGGTGATATTGTTTTGTTCAACATTTATTTAAAATTTTCATCTTTAATTTGGTAAGAAATCATTAATTTAAAATGTTTATTATGCCTTTGATTAATTTTTCAATTTAAATGTGGTAACAAGGATTGTGAGAAAAAATTATTACCCCGTCTAATAACAGGTTGTATGGGAATGCTTATGACACCCAACATTCTATTGTTTGATAAAGTAAAAATTTAAGGAAAAAAGAGAACCTTTTTCTTAATTTATGGTACATGTGCATAAACTGCTTATTTTCTAGCTTTTTCTTAGAGAACTATTTATTATCAGATTTATTTATTTTGAACAAAAACTAATAATAAGCATTTCTATTTAAACACATAATTATTTACTTTCCAAACTTTAAGTTGTTTGTTAGTACCTAGTGCTGTTAGTATGTATCTTTTAACAATCTCAGAGGCACTCTGGATAAACTTATTCGTAATTTGTCATTTTCTTCATAAATATGTGAAGTTTTATTTGATTCATGGAATCGGTAAGAAAACATTTTCTGTTCAAAACATTTTGATGGTATTGGTGTTTGTGCAACATTGTGGAAAATGTTCTCCATTTGCCATACAATGCAAAATCTTCAGACTTTTTGAAAAGATTAATACAAGAATCTTTTGCCGCATACTGGCCAAATCTAATGCAAATGATATGAAGGAAAAGGGACACTGAGCATCGAACAAAACAAAGAGTGGAGGAAAAGAATTGGTAAAAAAACAGAGCATACCTAATAGTAGCTGAAAGGAAGACCAGGATGGAAGAGAAAGAGAGGGAAATACCTTATAGGAGAAGAAAAGAGGTGGAATAAATTAGTTCTGTGAATTCAAAACATAACTGCCCAGTTTGCAAACAATCGATTGTTTTCCTCTTTTTTTTCTGGCTTTATTTTCCTTGGATTAGAAAAAGTGTTCCAATTGACTTCTCTTTTTCCCTCAACTAAACAGAAGAAAATAGAGATTTCATGCAAACAACTTTAGAAACAACAAAATTTGATCCATAGTCATATGGTTATTGCATAGGAGTGTTGACAGTCCCTTCCAGATAAAAAACCAGAACAGACTGAATAGAACATATCAAACTTAATATAGTCTGGTCCAGTCTTCAGGATGTGATATGTAGAACTGAAGAAAGTCGATCCATTCGGTCCGGTTCTTTGATCTGGACTGAACTAGACCTACTTACAAAATAAAGCAATATATTAGTTTATTAATTTTAAATTAATTTAATATTTAATATTTAAAAACAAATCAATGTGGCATTTTCAAAACCAAAATTTCAAAATTTGAATTGGATGACTGATTGTGATTGTGTACTTATGATGAATAATTAGACTAGCATTATTGATTGGATTGGATAAATGATTTTGCATTGGCATTGGATGAATGATTGTGGTTTTGCTTATCTTTTATTCTTTTGTAATCTAAGTTTTTTTGGTTGTTTTCTGCTGGAGGGTTCCCCAGTTTTCTTTTTGTACTATCCTCTTTTCTCTTCCTAATAATATTTCTTCCTTTGTTAAAGCGTAAACGTTAATAGTTATTGTAGTGAATCATGTGCATTTACGTAGTCCTTAACAATGTAAATAGCATGAGTAGCATAGAAAACAAGATACACATTACCATATTAGTCAAAGTAGCCATTAATTTTTTATAACCACATCCAAAGGAGAAATCAAGAACCGTTATAACTTACACTCCTAAAAAAACCATTGGAGTCATTATAATTTCCATAAGAAGTAGTGGATGATATGGATGAATGTCTCACTAAATGCAAAGTGGCATATTATTGTTTGTTGTGGTAACTAGTGAATTACTTCAGGTACGGGACCACTGTAAAAGTCTTTATGGTTAGCTTTGGTGTCAAACATCTATTTTTTAGGTGCAATCAGTTCAATTAATGGAACCTTTTACCTTATGTTAGATTTACACAGACAACTTTGCTTTTTTTTTTTTTAGTTATTTAATGCATTTCTAGATTAGTCACGACAATGTAAAAGTGTTGTTTGTTATATCTGATATGAATAGTTCGGAATTTGTCATGCTTTCTAAAGTTCAGATTTATTGTCCTATTTCATAGGCGTTTCTTCTGACCGTGAAAATCTATCAGGCTACTGGAGCACAACTTATGGCAAGATCAGCTGCCTCTCCTGGTGCTGCCAATGCTACTTCCATTGACACAACGGCATCACCACTTCCATATGCGAACTCCCCCAGATCAGGTACAGCTATGATGAATACACCATCTCCTCAACAGCAAACCCAGCAGCAGCAGCAGCAGCAACAACAACAGCAACAACAAAGGCAGAAAATTATGCAATTGCCTCAGCATCAGCAGCTACTTGCTCAGCAGCAGTTCAGGCAATCTCCAATGCAAGGACTGGGTCAGGTCTGGAATTTAAGATCACTAATAATTTTTAATCAGTGCTTATGTTTTTGCACGTGTTCCTACACTTTTTTTTCCTAATGGAGACATCAGTACAATTATACTTTAAACTAGCCTAATGTGGCCTAACAGACACTACATTAAATTGTTGGTGTAATGTCTATGATATAATATTACTTGCTGGAGCATTTTTAACTCTTTAGATTTACTTTGCACATTTTGCAGAACCAGCTAGCCCCACTACATGATTTACAGGGCCAGGCTCAGCAGAAGTTTCAGTCGGTAAATAACACATTTCTTTTGACATAGCTTCTTATTCCTTGCATGTAAGGTGCAGTTTACATATTGATACAAGATGCAGGATGGCATGAGTCTGGATCTCAAAGATTTTTAGTAGTATATCCTAGTAATAAATGTTATTTCAAAAAAAAAATCCTAATAATAAATGGAGTTCAGGGTTGATAATTCGCTAAATGCTGGTAGCTAGGGTCCTAGGTTGTGATCCTTCATATGGGGCAAGATATTGAGGTTTGAAGCTGGTTATTTTAGCTCTTAGTTAAAGGAATCAGAAACTATGGGAAGCTAGGGAGCAATAACTGCGAATTATTACCTCCAGTGACCTCGGGCCAATAATCCAAAAATCTTTCTTGTGAAGCTCTCGGAGTAGCACATTCAT